ATCGACCCTACATTTTTTTTTTTACGTGGAGGTAGGCCGACTATATGTGCTAAACAATTGGCAACCAAACGGTGGCTCGCTAAAGCGATATATTATGAAATTAAATTAATCACTCAATAAGTTTTAACGTTAGATTGTTTCCTCGATATGGCCATGGTGGTCATCAGTGACTGGAGTGCCTCAAATGTTTAGAATAATTAAAATAAAATAAATGTTGTCAACTAAAAATTTTGAACGTCATAGCTAGCTAGACATTATTTTCAATTGAAAAAAAAAATTATAAAGCATTAATACTATAATCCTATGCTTAAAATGTATTTTCTTGTGGCCGCCTGACAGCAACCTGTAAATCTGGCGTGACAGTGAACGAGTTAATAAGTAAATGTTGTTCAAATTATGTCGTGTTTTATGTCATTTTCATCAGAAAAATCTCATCAATATGTTAAGAAAAATTTCGGGATAAAAAAACGTAAAATTAAAGAAATTATATTTTTCTATTATGATTTGTCGAGCCGTGTAATCTCGTAAAGGAAACCGACTGGTGTAGCGTTACACTCTTGACTGACTGCGAGCGAGATAACATGGGCGCAGCAATGACGCAGACCAAGGCGTAGGCCCATCTATACTGTCACTTGTAGAATCTAAACTTACTGACTCTTGTAGAGAATTTACGGTATCTCGAAAATGTTTGATATTTTAATAAGACTCGACTGAATGTTGATTTTGAAAAATTAAAACCTATAACACTTCCTTAGACGCACTTCGTTACGTAAAACGGACTTGTCTAATTTTGTATCTTCGGTGAATTAGCGAATGATCACACGGAAAAGTGAATCAAGGCAGCTTTGTTATTTCAACAGTCATCACTAGTAAATTAGTGAGAATTACATCACACTGAGTAAGTGCTAATATTTATGACAATCTTTGAAACATATGTGAAAATTGTTTTCCTACGTCCATCAGAAGATTGAAAAAGACACCGAAGAGTTTTTCTACAGAAACTAATGAAAATTCTTCATTTACAATTGTCCAAACAAATTATTTCACGAGAAAATTGAACGCTCGAGGTCAAATCAAAAATAATAACGTTACAGAAAATCAAAGAACTGAATGAAAAAATTAATTCAATACGTAGCTCTTATATACAGGGTGAACCGATATGAATTACCACTTTAAATATCTTAAGTATCTGTTGAAAGTAAGAAAAAAATCTTTTCGATAAAAATTATTTGGTATGAAAAGAGCCATAGTATGTTTACAATTATTGTTTCATAGATAGAGTCATAGTTATTTATTATTTATCAACGCATTATCAACTGAATAAAATTGCAGTTTAAGAGAAGTCTAAGATTGCGAAAAAGATTTCTAGAAAAATTAAGAAAAATGCCTGTGTCAAGAAAATTAATAATACAAATTTTCAACGATGGTTTATTACATCGAATAATATTTTGGAAATTTCTTAGGATAGAATTCGAGCGTAAAATACCATTCGTTGTGAAAAATGGTAAAAATGGTAAATCTCTCCAATCAGTTAACAATGTGTTAATTGCAGCTTCTAATGCCGGGTTCACACTGGTGTTCGCGAACTGTTATCTCCTCGGTGACTCCACGTACAAAAAAATCGCTGTGACCATAAAATGGCATTTTTTATAGCAAACAACTTTCATCGTAAAAATTTTTCTCCTACTGTCACGATTTTAGAGATATTCAAGATGGTAATTTTTATTGGTGCGCCCTGTATATAAAGCATATTACGTTCAAGCTTGTTTGTTAATAATCAAAGAAAAGTTGAAGAGATTCGGTATTCGATTCTCTTTTCGAAAAAATCGTATCACAGAGTGATAAAACGAGTTAAAAAAGTGCAATGTTCTCCTGTACGATTCTTTTTTTTGAATTCTACTTCGAATAAAGCTATAGCCTGGCCGAGTTTTGAGAATCACCCTGTATAAGTCAGCGTCGAGTACCAGCCTCGAGATACATACGTAAAAGAGCTTTTCAACGAACGATGGACGTACCTAACAACAACAATTTCTCCCGACTGTTCCTCGACCCTTGGAACAGAATGGAAGTAAAATGGTGTTGCAATTAACGACGCGCACGAAGTTCAATGCGTGCAGTAAAGAAATTCGGAGAAACTTAAGGAGACTTTATCGAACCGACTGGCTCTCCAACAGTTACGGACTAGCCGAGTCTTTCAGCAAACGAACCAACGGATTCAGCTTACCATCGTCTGAGTTTCTGTACTCTTCCAGTAGCTGTGAAATAGAATATTGTTTTTGTTCTTCTTTTTTTTTATACTTTGTACATGGTGATTGGATAAGATTAGATGAGCAGAGCTTTTAAAAAGACAGACATAATTTAACCCCATGTTGAAGATTTTCGTCAAGATCTGATAAAAACAGATGTATCGGTGACGAAAATTTAGCTTCATTCGAATTTTCGATTTAATTTGTAAAATTGAAGATTGGCAAATTTGATTAATCTACGATACATTAGCTTTTCTTGCAGAACACTTTGTTATCGACGGATGCCGATAACCGACGATATCGCAAAAAAGTTAGAAATTAATTAACCAGATATTTATGTGAAATTTTAGATTTGCATGCAAAAATGTTTTGTACGTATTGCAAATTTATTTCTACTCTCTCGTAACGATATATTAGATATGCAGGAAGTAAGAAACATACGAAGTTCGTAAAAGGAAATGTTCGATTTACCTGATAAGACAATTCGCAGGACAGAATTGCCGTTGCTTCTGGATTTTGATGTGTGGCCGCCAAAAGTGTGGGGAAAATATACGACGTTAGTCCTGGAGCTCCGTAAAATGGAAATGGCAGGGTACACAATTGCTGAAGAACGCTCGGACCAGACCCAGCCGATTGGAGTATTAACTGAAATAAATTTCAATTCAAAGTTTGGTCCGTTTTCATAGAGATCACTTATTCAAGGGGGTAAATTACAAATCCTTCAATTTGGGTAAAAAAAGAGAAGATTTTTTAAGTCTTTTCTATAAATACTAAATCAGACCTGACTTAAGATTATAATTTCTCGTAGATTATCGGAGTCAGAGATAAAACGAAAAAAATTTTATTAAAATCAAATTTGTACTCTTTCCATTAATATTTCTATCAAATTTTCGATTTCGAATATTTAAATATTTGACATACGAATGACCGAAATAATTTCAACACAAAATAGAAAATATTAGTGAAATATTCAATTTTCGAAATTTCTAAGTTTTAACATTAAATTATACTTTACATCGGCAAGAAATACACGTAAAATCAAAATTTTCCTTCAAAGTCGTTTAAAACAGAACCATAAATCATTCCAACCCTTAAAACTGCTTTCTCATACATCGCAAAAGACACCATCGCAAAGAAAAGAATTGATTTGCAAAGCAACTAGCTACAAGAGAAGTTCGATTCTCCGGAACGGAGCTTCCAAACGAACGAACTGTCCGCAGCGAGATTTGCTTTCCATTGCAAAAGACCCACATGAAAAAAGGAACTGACAAATAAGTTCACGGTCGTTACGGAACGAAGAGGGTTAATTAAGACAGCCTAAGTGCGCTGTGCGAGGTCATTAATTCTCTTAAACATCGTGGGAATACGACGCACCTATATAATCCAGGTGGTGGAAAACAGCAAGTTGGAAAAGAAGAAAACGACCAGGTACATCTGCGGTTCAACAAGTGTCTTTGAGCTGTTTTGTGCACCTGTGGCAAGGTCCTCCCCAGGAAGTACCCACATTATGAATTTTTATTTCCTCATCGTTCACCCTTGTTACGTGCTCTGTCCTATGGTAATGCTCGAACGATTTGCCGAGTGTGCACGGGCGATCGGGAGAATTTATTGCAACGAGTTTTACGAACCTCGTTGGAAGTCATAGTTGAATGTGATAAATTTTTTAATTTTGTCCCTTTTGGTTCAAAATGAGAGTAACTTCGCTTCGCGCATGGGACGTGTCTAAGACGATGTCTAGAACCACTAGAACGTCCCAAATCCCCACTCAACCGCCTACGTTTTTCTCCGTCTTACCCTCGGAAACGCTCTTTGTCTATGCGCAGAACGGACGAGAATCGGTCCGAGAGCGAGGTTACTCTTATTTTGAACGACGTATAGAATTATTAATGGAAAATAATGTGGTGCATTGAACGAAAGGCGCTGCAAGTATACTTGAAGAAAAGCATCTTAATAATTTGGGTAATTTGAAGTAAGAAATCTGAAATTCGTCATTTTGGCGGGTTTGGTAGTTCTAGCGTTAAACGAGAAGCTCGAAAGCGTATGATTCGAGTGTGTATACAGAAATTTCTGTCCACCTGGAATGTTTCTGTTGTTTGGAATAATATGGAAAAACTTGGAATACGAAATTTGCATAATACAGAGAGAGAATATAATGTAATGTACATACTTTTTACTTGGGTGGATGGTTAGAGGAAATTTTAAGGCCATTTAAGTTCAATCTCCATTTTCTCAAAGTCATCTCTATTTTTCAACGGGGTGCTATATTTTTTTTCTGCATTTCCATGAATGTATATTGCGAGTTTTTCAGTAATTTTGTTACAGCTTAGAGTAGACGTTAGGTTAAAATTAATTCTGCGGCTTACAAGTGGCTTTAGCCAAAAAAATTTGGTATAATTGACAAAAATCACCGATAAAGTGTCCTCGCAGAAAATCTTAAAACAATAATAAATTTGGAATTTCTGGGAACTTCGAAGTCGTGAAGAATTGAAATACGTAATCATGAAGTATCACGGTTAAAATTGCGACAGTCAACTACATAAAACCTCGATCCTTTCAAAAACTCTCAAATAAGCAGCTTAAAATACGGCAAACACGAAATTTGCTTCTGCTGAAAACCTAATTACTCCCCCGTCCGATTAACCCGTTACAAGCTTTCAGATCTCATTTCTACATGTCGCCGACCGGTGTATTCTTACTTGACGTTTCGTGGAATCGATTAAAGAAACGTAGAGGAGACGCATTCAAAGAGAGCAATTAGGTAGAGACGGTGGTCGAGGGTTGTCACGTTGAAATGCACGGAATCGTTTCTTCACGATATCCCGCAGCATAGATCGAATTCCTTGACAATCTCTGAGAGGCCGATATCTCGAAAAATGGGGTTCGATAGCCCGGGCAGAAAGAAAGGAAGTGGCGACGTTTTCGAAGGCGCCAGTCAGTCCGTCGGATATTTTCACGTATGAACCTACCCTGGTCACTGGAAATATCTCGGTGAATGCGAGGGAAAAACGTTTACCCGGCAATCGTCTCATGAATACGCCTGCTTCCTCTATACGTACCCTATCGTACATCCAGCAGTCGTTTTTTCCAGGAGTTGAGTAACGTTTCTTGGTGTCCCTTCTTGTTTCTGAAGTATTCAGTTTTTTATGAATGAGAAATATTTTTTTTTTAATATCTTAACGAGTTTTCATACAGTTTGTTTGTGCAAATTAACGAGGTACAGTTGGAGGGTGCAGCATTTTTCATCGTCGCTTCTTATTTCTGAAGTATTCAATTTTTGACGAACGAGAGACATTTTTTTTTTTACATTTTGATCAATTTTTATGAAGTTTGTTTGTGGAAATTCATGAGTAGATCATTTGTGGAAAATTTGAAGGCACAAAAGTACACAGAATGCGCATAATAAGCAAAAATATATAATAATATATTTCATATGGTAAATAATAAAATATATTATACAATATGATATGGAATTTTAACGAACTCGTACTGTTTAATATTAATAGTTGGTTGTTCCTACACTCGCGAGAAAATCGCGCTTCTTTCACGTCGAATGAATCCGTACACGTGACCAATGTTTACCTTTGCTGAAAAATCTCATTCATATGCAAAGTTGGAACTGGACAACAGGGGTTCAGCTTGTGCAATTAAAAAACAACAAATTTTGTTTTAGAAGTATGACGACGCAGCGAAGTGTTTGTATCGTTATCCGTCTGAAGTTTCTATACACTACGAAAGAAGGTTAAAAATTCATTTACTAAGCTACACGTTGAAAGATTGGAAATTATTTCTTTTTGGTTCACGCAAATGAACCAAAGTCGCCGAGTTTCTATTCAAGCTGCCAGAAAAATGACAAAAGATCATCGACAAGATCATCGATAAAATTTTTGTACCCAAAAGTTGAAACGAATCTAACATACAATTGCCAATGTAATCACATCAGAAAATTTCAATTCTCATCGGTTCAGAATGTAAATCCAAGCAACGTCAAAAATCACCCCAGAAAAATCCTACCAAGTCCACAAATCACTTCAAAATCCACCAGAGTCACGATTTTCTAGCTGAAACGACGCGAAAATAGAAACAACTTACTCAAAACTGAAAGAAAAGAAAGAAGAACCAAACTCCTAACTTAGAAGCCCATTCAGCAAGTCCAATCTTTCCTCGAACCTAATTACAGGGTGTTCAATTAACGATCACAGTGTCTCCCACGAAAAACTTAAATTCTACAAAATAATTCACCGTGAAGGATTGTCTTTACAACGACGAAATACATATACACTCCTACTTTCCATCAATTCGCAGAAAAAAGTCTCTCAACACGTGCTTGAAAGATGAAGAAGATCCAAATCTGACGATTGCGATTTATCGACACCATTGATCCGCGATACACCGGTACATTTATCCGTGTACACGTCCAATGCTGGCCCATTGAGAATTAAACTCGAGTAACCATCGAT